CAAGCTGGTGGAGGATGCTTTCCCTTTTGGACTTTCATTGTTTTCATGAATGAGAACATCATATCTGAAGCTACCTGATTTGCATACACCATCAGTCCTTTGCTACAAGAACCATCATCTTGTGCTGACTGTTTTCTTTCCAACATTTGTCTGTCTGCTCCCTGATTGTAGCCATTTTGCTTACTCTGATTAGACATCTCACCATAAAAGAGTGAAGTCTTTCTGGGGTCATCATGGGATGGTTTGGGAGACAGCTTGCCATAGTCATCTCCATTCTTGCCATTAGATCCTCTAATTGATTGACGAATGCATCTTCCACTTCCTTCAAGTTTATCCTTCATTTCTTTGTGTGCCATTTGAACTACTAAGGAACAAAGCTTGTTAACATAATATGAGAGGTCATCTCCTCTCTGGCTACAAGAGCCTCTGAACGATGTGTCACTTCCCTGGGACATCTTGTCAATTGCAGGCGATTCGTAAGCTGATTTACGAGGGCCTGAGGGCCTTAGTGCATGCTGAAATCCAATTGCGTATTTCTGAAGATCGTTGCTGAGCCAGCTCACAACGTTAATTTCTTCAGAGGAACCTTGTTTGAAAAGGCAGACCGCTCCTTCTGTATTGCTGTGCTGACTGCGTTCGTTGTCCTTAATTACAATGACTTCTTTTTCTTCAAGATTACGTAGGTCAAGGCAAGGGTCAGTGGCACTTTTACGTCTGTTTCTATCCTTTATGTTAAGGTTAGCAACATCAACAAAACAGATAACTTTACGATCTTGATCCCTTTCTCCTTCAGGGCTGTATAGATCTACTTTGCAAAGGCCAGATTGACTGTGTAACCAGTCAATCTCATGAGCCATACTATGTAAACGGAACCAGAATTGAAACCCGGGTCATTGACCGCTCTTCTTTCAGTTTTTGTTGACCCTGCCCCTGCCCCACTCAAGATGTTGCCTCCTCTCTTAGCTTTCCATGCTCTTGTGCTGGCTGGTAGCATATTCATTTGTGTGCACAGATTGTTTCTATGACAGCAGTGACATCATAAAGCAGTAATATCATCCAGCAGCCAATCATCCCTTGGTCATGGTTAACATTAGATTGTTTTGCAGTTCTCATTGCTTAACCTGCACTAGAGTGAAACCAACGGAATAAAATCATCTTATTAAGGATATAGGATTTACAGAAAAAGTATTTAAACATTGTTTAAATAACCCGTTGTTTAAAACGCTATAAAAAAAACAAATACCATTGATCCCAAAGTTGTTTTATTTCTCCAAAATTTATATTTTATTACATTTCATGAAGCTTGATATACTGCAGATTTGAATGTGTTTTAAGCATAATCTCTTCTAATGTAGGGTCTTTGACATCTGTCCTTACAACAAAAAAGGAAACCTTACTTTGTCAATTAAGCCTTGTTTTAAAAATCTGCCCACTTATTCTTGAATTACTTTCCATTATGGTATGATAATTTTCATTTTTCTTAACTCTTATTGTTTTTGTATGATTTGCATTTGCAGTTTCTTCATATCATCTTTGTTTGCCTTTATATAATGATATACCTGGAAATAATTGGTAGGTGAATGAAAAAAAAAAACGTAAGATGGATGGAGTTCTTTAAAAAAAGACATCAAGAGTATAATAATAAAACATGACAGTATCACAGTAAATCATAAGAATAACAGCCAATATTATTACACAGATTGAGTGAAAATAAAGAGGCAATTACAGGAGTTAATAAGAGAGACCAATCTTCAAAGAAGGATATATACAGGTAATTCAGGTTTGTAAAAATGGTATTAATAAAAAAGCTAAAACTTTTGTCAGTTGAGGTGTCCAAAGTACTCAAAACACCAATGGGTTTCTTCAATTATGATGCAGCGATTTTTGTAAGTCAGCATGAATTTGTCAAAAACTCAACTCATTTCATTTTTAGATCTGGTACAAATTGTGGAAGGTGTTGAGTAAAATATATTTCGACATAAAATATATAATAGTGTTATTATAATTTAATTAGCAACTACCGGCTGTTAAATATGGTCTGGATATTATGTCTAATCACTGGCTTAGACATAATATTTGAAAAATGGTACTTAAACGTTTTATCAATGATTTCTCATCAAACTGAAATTCAGTATCAAATGGAGGCAATGTAGTTGACTGTGGGCGAGTATTCCTCATTATTTTAATTAATGATTTGGACAAAGAGTGGGAAAAAAATAGTTTATCATATTTATAAATGATCCAAAAGTGGATGAGATCACTAATATTCCAGAAGAAAGAAAAAATGTGATACAGTATAGAGTAGAGCAGTAAATTGAAAATAGTGGCCAGGAATTTAATAGAAACAAATGCAAAGGAACCAGATATATTTAGCTTTAAGAAAAGATTAGTGCAGAACAAATGCAAAGGAACCAGATATATTTAGCTTTAAGAAAAGATTAGTGCGGAACAACATTTTCAAATACATGGCAATCAAGACCTGCTCTATAGTACAAAAATGTAATACATATAATGTTAAATTGTAAGAAGGCAAATTTAAGTCAAAAAACTTCCTAAGAACAGAAGTTCAACACTGGCATCTGTAACCACTTGCTCCCCTTTCAAAAAAGTATGGTTCTCCTTCACTGACTATATTCATGTAAATCTAATTAATCATCTATCAGGCATACTTTAATTATATTGCTTCATAGAAAGTTGCAGCACATAGTAAATTGTAGCTACTCTCAAAAATAAAGAGTCGGACAGGTTTAATATTTGGATAGGAAAGAACCCAGAAATCCCAAGGCCATAAGATTAGACAATGTCCCAGGAAAAGGCACTGGCAAATTTATTTCCATATCATTAAAAAAACTAGCTGTAATCTCAGTGTGGAAGAATAATCTTATCTTTTTTTCTGAATGGGGATAAGACTCTGTACCCTAAATTACCCTTTTCTTTCTTTTAATGTTTATTTCATTGCTGTCTGGAGTTTTTAAATAATAAATTACAATTCAATAAATGAGATTTTGACCTAAACCAAATTAGTTTCAGGAACACGTCTACAAAAGTCTGCATTTGATAACATATAGCCAACAGAATCAAGGCAACAGTCACTTCAAAATGCATATGTGAAAGGCAGAAAGAATCTTAAAATAAGTTTCATATTTAAAAATTTAGAAAATAGTTTGTGGAGTCCTTGGTTATTTGCTTACAGGCGTTTCATTCCCCAAATAGGTAAGACTTTCAGTGCTAGAAGGGAGTGGGATTTGCTCTCTGTTTATTTGTTGGTCAATTTCTTTCTTTTTTTTTTTTTGACAAATTTCACAAGGTATTTTCAATACCCTGCAAATTATAGCGAAAACACTGAAAATGTACTAAGGTCTTTTGAGAGAGCTATAAACGTAGGAGATTTTGATAAATGTGGAGAGAGGTGGCTGGCGCCAATGGAGTGATTAGACAGAGCTTAGGTCACCTCTGCGGCTTGATCTATTAACATTGAGAAAGTCTTAAGGAAAACAACTGGGAGATTTTTCTTAAAAAAAAAAAAACTCTTGAAAACATGACAAATACTAAATGGGGAATATGCAGAAGTTTCCATTACAGAATATTTTGATTTGGAAGTTATCCAGTCTCAAAACAAAGCTTTCTCTGAGATTGCACTGTTTATGGACCACTTCAAACTGCCTGATTGGAACAGTTCATAATGGAACTTTTGTTCTTCCTTGCTACATTAGCTCTTCCAGTGAGCCAGGAAGTTCCCAAACTACAGGTAGTCCTCAATTTACAACAGTTCATTTAGTGACCGTTTGAAGTTACAACGGCACTGAAAAAAGTGACTTAATGATCATTTTTCACCCTTACAGCTATCACATGATTTACATTCACATGCTTGACAGCTGGTTCATTTTTATGACGGCTGCAGTGTCCCGGGGTCATGTGACCATCTTTTGCGACTTTCTAACAAGCAAAGTCAGTGGGGAAGCCAGATTCACTTAACAACCCTGTTACTAATTTAACAACTGCAGTGATTCACTTAACTAATGTGGCAAGAAAAGTCGTAAAATGGAGCAAAACTCATTTAACAAATTTCTCACTTAGCAACATAAATTCTGGCTTCAATTGTGGTTGTAAGTTGAGGACTACCTGTACCTGAGTAAAATGAAGTGTGAAATGTGTTTCTCTACAGATTTGTTTTTCTATATTTTTGACATAGTGGTAAGCATTTTGGAAAGAAGTTCTGCATGCCAGCCCTAGTCTGCTTTTTCTCCTCCTTTTGTCTTTTCCACATTCACTGTCTTTCCAGAACACCACAAAACATAAGCATAGACTTGCACTAAATGGACTGAAATCTGAGAAAAATGTTTTGTTCCAGCCCATTGTCTTGGTTGCAGTTCTTTCTGCTGTTCTTCAAGTTTGTTTTTTTTTAAACTGTCCATTACACTTAGTCTATGTGAAATTGCCAATGCAAGGCTTTGTCTATGTGAAATTGCCAATGCAAGGCTTGTCAGTTTAATTTAGACTATATTCTTTTTCTCGACTAGGACAATGCTTTTGTTATTTTCAACATTTGGCATATGTCTGACATTAAATACTTGTTATTGTGAAACTTGATCCTGGTTTGTTTTTCTGTCACGTATTGAAAATACCCAAATTTTTCCAGTATTAGAAAAAAAAATGTTTTAATCCAGAGGGGTGTGTATGTGCGTGTGTATTTAAATGATTTATAGAGTTTCCCATCTCACAACAGCAACTCTGGGCACCGTACAAAGATTAAACCCATCTAACAATATGTCCCCCATGATCCCCTGATTAAATCAATAACCCTGAAAACAAAAAAGCCACATCACAACAAAATTCACCTAACTTCCTAGCCTAAGCCTTATGAAAAGCTGATAGAATCAAAGCCATCTAAATCTCTGGGAACAATTACTGTTCCTCAGAGCAGGCACAGCCACAGAGAATGCATGTATTTACATGAAAAGATGCCTTTAAAAATATTTATTTGCTTCTTTTTTTTTTAGGTCCAGAATTTGACTTTGCGGAGTCAGAAGCTGGGTGTATTGTCTGCTTCTCAAAATGGAACACCCAAGAGCTCTTGTCAACCCCAGACATTAGCTGTGTGTCCTAGCAAATCTGTAACCAGTGCCAAAGCCAGCCAATCAGATCTAGAAAGCAGAAGGAAAGGAGACAGCCCAAATGCTGAGCCTCGAAGTCCAGCTGTTACCCGTACGTCAAGTATTCATCAGTTAATGGCACCAGGTAGGACAACCCAATTACATTTTTAAGGATGTTCCTTTACAGTTAAGACTTTTGTTTATGCATTTGTCAATTTGTTGCCACCTCAATCACCAAGTACCAAAAACACTTGATTTGTAGTCATTATTATGTCAATTGGTTTGCATCCAATAATGTGTCGGCTAAGGTAAAAAATCTGAAGCTCTATGAAATTAAAGGAGGCTCTTCGTTGGTGGGAATTCATTTCATATGAAGTACTTGGACTAAGGGAGCTGAAGTCTCTGCTGTCTCTTTGTGTCTCCTGTATCTCAGATGTTGTTAATGACTAGATAGCTGTGATATTAGGAGCACTGATGAGATGTTTCCAAAGAAGAAATCTGATATACCGTAAATGCCGGCGTACAAGGCGACCCGGCATATAAGACGACCCCCGTCTTTATAGCCGGGCCGCATTCCTAGAATGTCGTCTTATATGCCGGAAACTACCAGTATTTCCGACGTATAAGACGACTCGGTGTATAAGACGACCCCTGTCTTTGGCGCCGATTTCAGCGCTCGCAGAAGTCGCCTTATACGCCGGCATTTACGGTACCTGAATTATTAGATATGGGACGTCAGCATTTACAATATTTTAATTTATTAAAGAAAGCTAAGAAAGAAAAATGAATCACCTGTGTATAAACATTTGAAAAGGTTTTGTCGCTTAACAGAACTAGTTGTACTGATTAGAAGAATTGTAGTGTTTCAGTACACAATTCAGTAAATTCAGAAATTAGTGGGCATCAAATATTAGATTCAAAGCTCTACCTGAAAACTACCTTTGAATTACATGTAGAAAGTAAGCAGCATTAATAACCCAGTACATATATTTTCTTTGCCCTGCATTGGATCTAGAAAGTGATAGTCATTGCTTTATTTCATTGCTTAATAAAATAAAGATAAAGTGGGATTTATTTAGTTCTTGCTGTTAAAGTTCAAAGCCAGACATCTATTATATATCACTTAAGGTACAAGATTTTTTTTCTTGCTTTGAATGTGTTGTTTTTCCTAGAAATTCAGTTGTATAAATCCTTTGATAAAGCTGCTTAGGTTAAAGGTTTCTAAAATTATTTTTAAAAAACAGTCAAATCAAAACATCTTAGAGATTACTTTATGCAAACTTTTAAGTTTTGTTGTACACGATCACAAATGCCTTTCTCTTAAGGCTTTATCAAATTCAGGTATCATATGAGATATAATGGGTAGACCTACCTACTTAAATATTGGTATTTATCTGAAAATAAGCATATTTTAATGGCTTTCTGTGCTCTTAAGGAGATATTAACTGTAAATTTTCCCATTTTTATTGTGTAGCCTCATATTCTCCGATGCACGCTCATTCCCTGTTAAAACATCAGCAGCCCCCTCTTCACTCACCACCTTCCAAGCTCTCTCACCATCAGCTCATCTTTCAGCAGCAGCAAGTCCAACCAATCACACTCCAGCAGCCTCCCAGCCACGAAGCCACTCCGTTCCAGCACTGTACCCCCCTTCAGAGCCATCCTCTGACTCCAGAACCTGCCATTGCCCCATCCCAACATTGTACTCCTGTCCATGCCCACCCTCCTCCACTGTCTCCAACCCCAACCCCATCCCCACAACAATCCGTTGTGGTATCCCCACTACCGCCTACTTCGCCCAGCCAGTCCCCAAGTATAATTATCCACCCCCAAACTCTTATTCAGTCCCATCCACTAACATCGTCCACACTCCAGTCCGAACATAACCCCATGCAAGCTGACCACAGTTCAACAGAATCAGCATCACAGTCCACCGCTCTTCCTCCCCAGCTGTCCCCGTCCCCAGTAGTCCATGTGGGACCAGCAGATCACCCTTCCGTGCTGTCTCCCAGCCAGCAGATATCATTGCCATCATCTCACCAACAGTACCCAACTTTGCAGCCAGCGCCAGTTCCACTTTCAACTTCACAGTTGCCCTCAACTCTAGCCCACCCTCAGCAGATGCCCCTTCCTCCTGTTCCGTCTTTGCCAGTCCAGCCTGAACTTTTGTCCCAAGATCAGGTTTTGGTACAAAATACCTTAGTTTCTGAAGAGGAGCTTCCTGCTGCTGAAGCTTTGGTCCCGCTGCCGCTTCAGACTCTTCCGCCTCCCCAAACAGTTGCAGTAAACCTCCAAGTGCAACAAGCAGCACCTATTGAGACCCCAGTGGTAAGCCTCTGGTGAATGACTTCTTATCTAGCTTTAAAACTACCATATGTGTAAGATGGACAAGTGAAAGCTATCTGAAATATTTGTTGGCATTAGGTTCCTGCTGAGGAACCAGAACTTTGAAGCAATGTAAGCACTATTACAATAGGGATTGTGCAAAGCTGTAGAAGGCAGACCTAGGTGGCACATTTTGTATAGGAGAAGCAAATCCATCCTTCAAAACGTTAAAACAACTGTATCCTTCAGAAAGCTCATCGTAATTGTCTTAGCTATGCTGAGCCTTCTGAAGAGAGTAGCTATTTTAATGCTTAAAGGAGAGGGGCTTTGCCTGCCCCTGTGTGCAGGCATTGCCCCCTTACTAATGCTTTGCAAAACTCTAGTAAAACTTTTAGTAAGCACTTATTTATTTGCGAGGTAATTGATGATATAATGATTTATTTTGTCTGTTTACTGTTTCCTTTCTAAAATGTCAAGGGACTTTATCAGGGATGAATCCCAATTTTAAATTTAATATACTGTAGTTTTATAAGTTTTAGGTATTTTCTTTTTATAGAAATAGGAGTTTATAATCAGTATTCATAGTTTTTGTTTACTGTTATATTTCTATCCACCGAGTTGCCAGGATTCTGTGGATGGTTCACACATAAAAAACGCAGGAATAATAAAAACACAACAACCTTGAGTTAAATTTTTAAAACCCACAAAATAAAACAGTAATTCATGAGCAACAGTATTTGGCAAGCATGAGGGTAAAATAATGTTCAAGGTGGATGGAAAGGATCAAAGAAATTGCAGATTTATCCTTAGCTAAAATTATTTCTACAGAAAGGTCAAGATGGTGGACATTTATCTATGCAATCACCAGAAATCAAGCTTAATTCAGTGCTTCTTAAATGTTCAGAATGTAAGATCAGAAGTCAACAATAACACAAATATCTCAAAACTACAATTACAGTTGTAAAAGATTTGCAATGTATGCTTCTTCATCTTCTAAACCAACTTCTCAGAATAATTCCATATAAAGTGGCCAATTTTAAAAAGCAGTGTCAGATTTCTGATTAATTTGTTTATTCCAAGAAACATGTTTAGACAATACAGGCTTACAACAATAACATCTTCTAAATTAATTTCTTCTATATGTCACTATATATATATATATATATATATATATATATATATATATTGTTCTTTAGTAAATAATAATTTGATTATTGAATATATTGATTCAGCCTGCCAAATCTAATCTGTTTTTAAGGTTTTGCCTTTAAAAATTAAATACATTTCTTGAGAATTGTTTTTAATAGTAAATTGACAGTAGTTGCAGTTACATTTTAATAATTTTTCATATAGTTTCCTAGAAAGCTAATAAAATACCCCAGAAAGCTTGACTCTAAAGAAGGTTGATTTGTTCAATGCAGCTTTATCAGGAGCAAGATATATGTGAAGATGAGATGCCTGAGGACTCAGATGGTACCCGTATGGTTAGGACTCCCACCCCACCAACGCTGTCACCACCAGCTATAACTTTAAGAAGCAGAGAAGAGCTTACTTATGAAGACTCTTTTCCAGGTGAAAAAAGGACACCTTGTGGTATTGTTACTAAGCCTAGCTTCTGGTTCTGATTTCTTGTTTCATCGTATCACCTTTAAGGCTAAGGGGCTGTGCAGTAAGATCAAGGGAACAACTCTGACACATTGTCCTGAATAACTGAACTCTTTCTTGGCTTTAGCAAATTGCTGAAGGCATTTTGAAAGTCAGGCTTGTTGCTTTGTTGTGGTAAATTGAAAGCAAGAATGTGGAGCCTCATAGATTAGATTGCCTTGTCTTAAGAACATAAAGTCACCCTGATGCAAGGCAGAAAGAAGAGGGGGAATGTCATCAACTGATCTGTCTTGATCTTGACACCCTAGGCCAGTGGTGGCGAACCTATGGCATGCGTGCCAGGGGTGGCACTCAGAGCCCTCTCTGTGGGCACGCATACTGCAGCCACTAGCAGCTCACGCAGGTCCATTAGGCTGCCACCGCCCAAAGCAGCAGCCCCACCCAGCACAAAGCAGGCAAAATGGCTGGCTAGCAAGTTCAAGTAGAGATGTTAAGAGTATCGAGGTAGCCACGCCTACCTGCCACACCCATCCAGTCTGCTGTGACCACCCTGGCCAGCCCACCCAGTGGGCTACACACCCCGCCCTCCCTGAGGGAACCACAATGCTGATGCAGCCCTGGCACTTTGCAATAAATAAGTGGGTTTTGGGTTGCAGTTTGGGCACTCGGTCTCTAAAAGGTTCGCCATCACTGCCCTAGGCATAGGGCACTTGTATTTTTGCAGCTGAAAAATACTGGAGGCAAAGGAGAGGGCTGGTTGTATTATGTACAGCAGTATATGGGGGCTATAGAGTTGGAAAGAAATCCCAACCTCCATATTATCAGGTGAAGAAAATAGTAAGAGGCAAACCCGACAGAAAAGACAACATAAAGCCCTCAGTAATTGATAGTAGGATGACTGAGTCTTGCTGAGTTGCAGGAATTAGAGAAAATAATGAGATTTTATATATATTGCCTGAGGTGAGTTTTTCCCTACCTGATGAAAGGGAACCATTAAGAAACTGAAACTTCAAAACTTTCTAGAGCTACAAAACTCTGATCATCTGCAAGCTAGGTGTTGGTAATTGATATAAAATATATTGTATCTATAATTGTTTCTCATTGCGTGCTAAGTTCCCACGCCAAACATTGCATTTCAACCTCCATTTTAGCCCACTGATTCATTTGGTTAGCTAAGTAATCTTCCATTATTGCATTTGTTTGCACAGGGCAGTTACATCACATTAAAATTGAAGCCGGATTCAGACAAATTAGAACAGCTTCAGAGAAAGGCAGGCTAACCAGAAGACTAGAAATGAAGTCCTATGAAGAGAGGAAGAGAGAAGGGACTGGAAACGGTCAACTTTTGAGAAGAGAAGACTAAAAGGGGATACAGTGGATCTCTTCATACACCTGAAGAGAAGTCAGAATGGTTCTTGGTGCCAAGCTTGGTTGTTTTCTTGCAGACATTTCATTACCCAAACTAAGTAACATTCAGACAAAAGCACTGATGATGTTACCTAGTTTGGGTATTGAAATGTCTGCAAGAAAACAACCAATCTCAGAAAGCACCAAGGACTACTCATTTCAATCCTGAGCTACAAATATTCTCCTTTATTGAGAGAGATGTCAGAGGAAAGAAGGTCAAGAACTGTTATTTTAGAATTCAACACAAGGAAGAATTAAGTTATAGGGGGAGAAAAGCTAACAGCAGTGCAGGTTAATAGAGCATACTTGAGTCCCAAAACTGTTTCACTTAAGTTCTCTGAAAACCTCAGAAGAGCAGTAGATAAGAGTGTTCAGCTGGGAATTACTACTTGAGTTATTCCTTGTGTGTTTTCTTAAAAGCAAGCAGGGATGAATGCTTTCAGAGATAAAACATTAGGGTAGCTCAGTGGTAGTGGGAAACTTTATTGTCCACATGGCTTGTATATAAGACTTTGGTGGTAGGCTGGACATTGTCAAGAATACATTCATAATGGAAGCCTTGATGCAGCTGAGATTACTAGAAGGAAGGGGATAAAGCCATCCCGCTCTTTATACATTGGGATCTCCCTTACTAGCTTGTCAATCTTGAAGCCACTGATGATTTTCTGATTTGTTGAAGACCTCTTTTGCAAAGCCCAACAACCATAAGAGTTCTTTTAGCCCAAAACCAGAGCCTTGGATACTCTAGAATCTGTAACAGAATGCTTTGTATTCATCAGGACTCGCAAGTCAAAGAAGTCTAATTTAGTTGTTGGGTCTTGCAGAAGTGTAGAGCCTTCCGGAAATCTAGGGTGGCTGCAAATGGGTAAATAAATTTGCTGGAGCAGGTAAGTTAAGAGGAATCAGGAGATATGATCAGCCTCACGAGGGCAGCAAAGCCCCAATAGAACCACAGGCTGCCTGCTCCAGGATAAATTAATGTGCGGAAACTATATGTCCTCTGAAGCATTCATATGGTCCCCGGATCTACTTCATTTTCCAAAGTTACATGTCAGTTCATGCAATAAGTATTGGAAGAGACTTTTGTAGTAGCCAAGTTATGAATAAAAATGATGCTTTCTATAACTATGAAGATATGTGAGTTATTTAAAAAAAACATACATTACTTTTTTTCCAGAACAAGAGGGACATTCTTCAATGGCTTCATCAGTCAGCGCATCTGTAATTAAATCACCATCAGACCCTTCACATGCCTCTATTCCACAGCCACCTCTTTTGCTCCCAGCAATTGCAACAAGGACTAACAGCGCATCAGTGTCCAATAGAAACCCTAGTATAGAAAACAAACTTCCACAGGCTATCGTTAAACCACAAATCCTGACTCATGTTATTGAGGGCTTTGTGATCCAAGAGGGTTTAGAACCATTTCCTGTAAGTGTAAAAATACATCATTGCACCTTGTACGTGTGATATTTTCCTTTTAAAAGGCAATGTGCTGTGGTTATTTGGGGCTTCTGTTTCTTTATTCCTTGTTATTCTGAATAATTTAGATTAATTGTCTTCTTAGTAATTATTGTCTGGTTTTCATGAAGTGAGTGGAGTTTATGTTTGCTGCCCAACAGTGTTCTGAACTTTAGTGGCTACAATCAGACTGAGCTCTGACAGCAAAAAAAAAAAACAACAACAGACAACTCACAAAAACGTATGCCTTTTAATACAATTTGTTGATTGGAAAAGGTGCTACCAGATTCTTTGAGAATATTTGCCACCATAGACTCTTCCTATAATCTCTGCCTGAAAAGTTAATGTTCCCACCTACCAAATTGGATAATAGAATAATTAATAAGAACTTAATGTTCTTCATTTACGGAGCACCCACCATCCATGAGTTAAATTAATCACATGGATGGTTGGGTGCCCATAAATAAAGAAAATATGTGAGATCATAAAATGCAACTTTTTAGAGAAGACTCCTCATCCTTTTGGCTCATGTTGAGTCTAATAAGAGTAACCATAAGACCGAATCTCCTTTCCTGAACATCAACAGCATTCTCATCAAAGTCACTTCTGATGAACTGCATAGCTAAATATATTTGATAAATAAAATTCTGATGGACCCATAATTCTTAGTAATGACTGTATTTACTCCTTGTCAATCTCTAAACCATGTCGATGCTGGGAAGAAAAATGCATAACTTCAACATAAATGTCGGGTTGGTCCATCAATAATTTTGGATTGGAGATTTTTAAAAAACAAAACAGTGTTTCTTACTGTTTTTAAGTTACATTTAAAATATATTTAAAACTGATTTGTTTTTAGTTATTTTTGTTTTGAGATATTTTTTTTTAATACTTAGGCTGAGGGCAGGGGTTCAAGAGAGACAAGATCCATAGCTGAGGAATATTCAGCACGTGTTTGAGAAGTGTTGTTCCTCATGTTGATTTTTGTTTGTCTTTTCCACTGCCTTTGAGTGAAAGCCAGTTCTTTCCCAGGGGTAGGTTGCTTCTCAAAGAAGATAAGCCACCAGGGTAGAAATAGGGTGACATTTTCCATTGGGCAGGAAGCATGGACTCTTCTGCCTTTTTGTTGAAGACAGGGTATAACTAAGGCTCAGTACTATTCTGTTTCATAAATGCAATTATTTGTACTCCTTTATTATTAAATGTATTATTAAATGTAAATGTTCTGTAAGCATTCAGCGCAGCTTACAAAATTGCACATAAGAGCTGCTCATCCAAAGGCAAATAGAAAATATGAAATACACACACACACACACACACTGTAAATATAAATATGTATGTTTTCAACTTACGGCCTTTCATCCTTTGTTACTCTCTTTCATAACAAAAAAAGTGGTATTTCTCAGTCTGTTTTTCCTGTTTATGTCAGGGATGGAAAGGGATGGCAGAATATAATCCATTTCCTATGAAAGGAATAGAACAGTAGCTCAGAATAACATTTTAATTTTTTTCTGTGGTATCTCATTACAAAGCCACGTGGAAATTTTATTTTTCCTCTTCATATCGCCATATTTTATTTCACATTTTCTTCCATATGTTGGTTCACCCATAGCCTCTGGACCCCAAATGGCTACATTAGTGCCTGTCTTTGAAATTGATGGAAGCATCTAATCTATGGCTCTGTATGTCCTTGTAGCAGTATCTAGACTTTAAGATTAGCAAATCCCTGAAATCTTCAAACACTTGATATGAGAAACCATACTTTTTTTTTGATTAATGATTCTATCTTTCTCTCTTAACAGGTAAGTTGCTCATCTCTTCTGACTGACGAGCCTGCAAAAAAGAGACTCTTGTTGGAGGAGCAAGTTGTGAATATTATGTGTGTCGAACCAGAGCTTCAGAACAATGCAAAACTTGCAGAGAATTCCTCGGACACTGAGCTGGAGGACATAATTACTGAAGGTTTATGTATTTCATTTAATCTGTATGAATATTTATTCCTCTATTTTCTCAGGAACTTTAAATATCATCCTGAGTTGCCTTCCCACTTTTGAGATACCAGATTTTTAAGAGAGTTTGATGCAAGGAAATTACATATCAAAACTATCTTTAAGGTGTCAATGCTGAAATTGCAAGGGGACATTCTATACCTGCCTTTAGGTTTTCATGTTAGATGAACTTAAGGGCTCTGGAAGAAGATATATATCCCCATCTTCATCAGAAGCGCTGTTGTAACTAAATGGGAATAAAAGTTGCATTGGCTGCATGAATGGGTGTCTTGAATCCATCGTTAAATTCCTGCTGGTGGTAATCTGGTGAATGCTTCAGCTCATCCAGAGTTTACTGAATATTAACAGAATCTATTCAAATACAGTGGTTGGCAACTTGCATTGAACAGAATAAGGTGGAAAACCCAAACGTTTATAGGTTAAAATGTATATTATTATTATTACCACCATGGACAAGCAATATTCATTCTATCAGGGCATATAGATAGTCATCAACTTAAGAACCACAATTAAGCCCCTAATTTCTGTTGTTAAGTGAGACATTTGTTAAGGGGGTTTTGTCTTATTTATGACCTTTCTTGCCATAATTATTAAGTGAATCACTACTGTTGTTTAGTTAACAATACGGTTTCCCCATTGACTTTGCTTGTCAGGTCGCAAAAGGGGATCACATGAACCCAGGACAGTGCAACCGTCATAAATATGAGTCAGTTGCCAAGCATCTAAATTTTGATCATGTAACCAATGGGATGCTGTAATGGTCGTGTGTATGAAAAATGGTCATGTCACTTTTTTCAGTGCTGTTGTAATTTCGAACGGTCACTAAATGAACTGTTGTAAGTTGAGGACTACCTGTAATTCTGTGAGTTAAAGGTTTCGAATATTTTCAATTTTAAAGTTGCTTGTGGGATGTAATATAGTTAAATTTGGCACCACCATGTTATTACTACATATTGGAGGGGTTTTTTTCCCTCACTCTATAAAAGTCAGAGGTTTGACATATGACTGAGTAGTTTAAGTGATAGAAATTGATATTAGAGTACTTCTTGTGAGTTTTTTTTAAAAATAAGCATTTACTTGGAAAATATCATGTCTCGTTAGTCCTAAATTTATTAATTTGGAGGACAAGCCATGTTGTCAATCTTATTTTTAATTTTAATGAGCCTTGTATACAGAAGTGTAGTTCTGAATGCTGAAATTTGTAAACATGGGTATGTAGGAACTCTTTTATTTGCTAAATTATATATGTTTTTACAGGATCAAAAGACATACAATTTCAAACTGAAATGCATGAAACAACACAAAGTGCCTGTTTTTGTACACTAGACACTAGAGAGTAAAATTGAATAACGTATACATGGATGGTCTTGGCATTAAAAACTCTGAACTTCAGATTAAAAGAATTTGGTTACCGAATAGGAAATTACAGGTAGTCCTTGCTGAATGATGTCAGTTGTCGTTGGTTGCCATCAATAAATGAGGACTGCACAGGATGTTGAATTGAGGATGTTATATGATCATAATTTCTGACTCTTCATTGATTTTACTTGTGGGAAGCTGGAAGGGAAGGTCACAAATCATGATCATATGATCATAAGATTGCTGCAACGGCTGGAATTTAGAGAAGCAGTTGTCAGACTCAGTACTACTTGTTCAGTTTTATTGCAAGTTCCAACAGTTGTTAGAGTGTCATTAAGTAATATCTGTCATTAACTAAGCATTAAGTACTTAGTAACATCTGTATTTCTGATGTTGAGCCACTGACATTGTAAGAAGATGGAACTAGGAGGGCTGGTTATTTACTTCGATTGCACAAAAATATTTTCAATCAAATTTTTATTTTTTTTTATTTGTGACTATATTACACAATTGTGCTGAGGTTCCTAGGGTGAGGCAGTCCACAATGGGTAGCTTTTTATTTGATCTTAATCTGACAGAACTGATGCTATATTCTTGATTTACTTCATTTTTTCTTTGTTTAATAAAAAACTTGTTTTTAAATCACTGAAAGTACAATCATGAGGAAAGGCCTTCTTCATGACAACAGCTGCCAGATACCAGATCATTTTGGCATACAATTCCCCACGACATGAGAGTTTTAAACACATTTGTTGCAATGGGATGGTTCAAACTAACTGCATTTATTCTGCTATTTCCTTTAGAGGGACTAGATGAGATGGAAACAGATCTCCTCAAGTGTGAATTTTGTGGGAAAATGGGGTATGCGAACAAATTCCTGAGGTCAAAACGGTTCTGCACCATGTCCTGTGCTAAGAGGTATTCTTCATTAGTTATCATTCTAGATATTGTAAAAACCATGAGTAGAGCACAGAATTTAGAATCAAATTCTTATGTGCTAAGTCAGATGAGTCCCAAACATAGGTGCTTACTGTGATGATCCTGAGTAAAGGATCTGCTGGTTCCATCCATAAGGATATGGTATTAAATGATTGGGTATATATATTTTAAGATAAGCTTGGAAGTCAGAAATATTATTTATACCCTGGAACAGATTAATACCTGTGCTTGTAACAAAAGAGTATAAGCTCAAGGAAAAAGTTGTACATTATATAAAATAGTTCCCCCCCTCTCTCTCTCTCTCCCTCCCTCCCTCCATCCCTCTCTCTCTCTCCCCCCCCCCCCTCTCTCTCTCTCTCTCTCTCTCTCTCTCTCTCTCGTTTCTGCCTTCAATGTTTTACTAAGGTGAATTAGCAGACATTGGATTTTTTTTTTCAGATTTCTTCTGTGCCTTCAGATTTTTAAGCTGCTTAGTCAATTGTATTTAATCAGAAACTTATAACACAATAAACAACATTACAGAAAAATAATATTTTGAAAATAGAGCTCAAGTTCAATACATTGGAAAAATGATTCTTTGTAAGTCAAAAGCAATTAGAACAAAAAAAGAGGCAGTTGTTCAACCTCAGCAATATTAAAGGGAAAAAAACAAAGCTCATTTTAAACTGTAGTAGTATTGTAGTAGTGTGCAGAAACTGTCCTCAGCTACGTTTTTGAATCAGTCGCTCTCTCTCATCCCAATCTATCTCATGGGTGCACATTGCAGGAATAAAATAAAAAAATCACTGTATTAGCCACAGTGACTCTTTGGGCAAGCTATAAAAGAAATGCACACACACACGCATGCACACAGCACTTAATATAAACGTTTCAGATCAAATCTTTACTTTTTTAAAAAAATTGAGAATATAGTTTGTAATGAAGTGACTATATCAGTTAAAGCCATAACAGTTAATGAGTCAATTTCTTCCAGCTTATGAATGGTTGGCATGTATTTCATCCAAAGTATTGAAACAAACATTATTTATTTATCTGAACTACAAGTTGACTCTGAATCTTAACATCTTTCTGTGATGACACTAAAGCACTAGGCCAGCGGTTCTCAACCTTGGGTCGCGACCCCATTTGGGGTCGAACGACCATTTTGCGGGGGTTGCCAAACAATGCGATCCGCCATTTTTTCCCTCGGGGCGGCGCCACGTATGCGCGCCGTGCATGGGGGGTGCCACCACGCACACACGCCGCGCATGGGCGCCGCGCACACGCGCCATGCATGGGGGTGCCGCGCACACGCGTCACGTATGCGGGGCGGCACCCCCATGCGCATGCGCGGCGCGTCCTTATGACTGGGGTCGCCGTATAAAAAGGTTGAGAACCACTGCACTAGGCCATCACTTCTAAACCCATTTTGATAGTGTCCATTGTAGAAGCGTGAGCGTATATAATAATGTTTGCATACCTTTCACCATTTGCATCTAGGTATAATGTAAGTTGCGGTAAGAAATTTCGATTATACACATCAGACAAGAGCAACCGTTGGAGCAGCCGTAGTCCAGATAACCCAGGTCTTGGGCAGCGAGGGAGGCGGCCAAGTGGCTCTGATGGAGCTCCAAGGGAACACTTCCTTAGACAGGTCTGTAGAATGCTAATTGAACTCCACGGTGTCCTTTTACAAGAGTCACAAAGGAAAATGGTTATACTGTGGTTTGTCTGTACTACATTTTCCAGCTACCAATTACTTATCCATCTGCAGAAGAAGACGTGGCCTCTCAGGAAGACAACGTGCCGGTTGCCATGACCACTCGCCTGCGGAGGCAAAGTGAGAGAGAAAGGGAGCGTGAGCTTAGGGAACTGAGAATTCGGAAAACAGCCGACAACATGGATTTGTTGCCAGCCATGCAGTCGGTCCCATCAGGGTGGACTGTTGAAGATGTCTGGGCGTTCATTCATTCTTTACCCGGTACGCAGCTGAAATCTGTGTCAACTTGCTAAGAATGATAGAGGGCAGGCTTGCTGGGAGGGGAATACAGGTAGTCCTCGACTTACGGTTGCAGTTGAGCCCAAAACTTGTGTGGCTAGGTGAAACGTCCCATTTTATGACTTTGTGACTTTTCATGCCACAGTTGTTAAGTGAATCACTGCAGTTGTTAAGTTAGTAACACGGTCATTAAATGAATCCGGCTTCCCCATTGACTTTGCTTGTCAGAAGGTCACAACAGGTGATCACATGGCTCCGGGACACTGCGACCGTCGTAAATATGAGCCAGTTGCCAAGCATCTGAATTTTGATCACATGACCAAGGGGATGCTTCAAGGGTCATAAGCGTGAAAAACAGTTACTTTTTTCAGTGCCGTTGTAACTTTGAACGGTCACTAAATGAACTGTTGTAAGTTGAGGACTACCTGTATATGAGGTCCGTACTTTGTTGTGAAAAGATTGGGGAATGTCAGATGTACGGCGTATTGCATGTGATAGATCTTAAATTTATTTTCAGAATATTTTGACAAGACTCGCTTATGTATGAAAACTCTTTTTCTGGTTCTTTTCTCAGATTCAACAAGAATAATTTGCATGTGTGACAGGTGACATAACAGGATGGCAGACTGTGTGTACCTTCTGCATTCTGTCATAACTCATCTGCCATACAGTAAGGCTATCAAAAACACTGGAATGTATTCCCACGCCATTTTATTTTAAAAGAACGAGTCCGTGGTCCGTGTGAAGCCCCATGGGGTTGCACATTATTGTAGGTTGTTTGTTTTTATATAATAATTTATAATAACAAACTTTTTATTAAAGCTTACAAACACAAAGGTGAAAAACTAATGCAAGCTAAGAAGAATATAAGAAGGAAAAGAAAAAGTATAGCGAAAATATATATATATAAATAAATGTTCTTGAGGTTAGTGCTTTTCCTTGCAGCACACAAGGTTCTGGTCTTTTTTTTTTTAAGTGAATACTAGGTAGATCTGCAAAGTTTGATAATCAGCAGGAAATATGTGATGAACAGTACATTGTTGCACCTACAGTAGTTGCCTATTTCAGCCTTTCTTTGAATTATATATTTAATAATATTGTATACATCATCAGTATATCTAAAGGCACACTTGGATGATTCTAAGATTAGCTTTCCCCAGCTCTGGCCTGTCACGGATGTATTGGCATTGCAATTCACTGGACACTCTAGGAATTGCAGTCCTAATAAACCTGGAGGGCATCAGAATAGAAGCTAGTTGTACACTGATAGAAATAGAAGTAGAGCAATAGGAATAGCCTTTAGACTTATATACCACTTCACAGTGCTTTACAGCCCTGTCTAAGCAATTTACAAAGTCAGCATGTTGCCCCCAACAGCCTGGGTCCTCATTTTACCGATCTCAGAAGGATGGAAGGCTGAGTCAACCCTGAGCCGGTGAGACTCGAACTACCAAACTGCTTGCAGTCTGCCATCAGCAGAATTAGCCTGCAATACCGCATTCTAATCAGTGCACCACCACAGTTCTTATATAGGATGGAAAGCCCTAAGAATTAAATGTAATGTGTTCTATAAAATTCAAACATAAACTCAGACTAAGTTCAGCACAATTACTAAATTCAGATTAGATTCGGATAAAAATGATCCTTTTAAGTACCGAAAAGTTACTGAACCAAGCTGGAAAATCCCTAATTTCAAGGCAGCCATGACTTCCTTTCTTGGTAATGTTTGTTATTTGTTGCAGGTTGTCAAGATATTGCTGATGAATTTCGAGCCCAAGAGATTGATGGGCAGGCTCTTCTCTTATTAAAAGAGGATCATCTCATGAGTGCAATGAATATTAAGCTAGGACCTGCACTAAAAATCTGTGCACGGATCAACTCTCTGAAGGAATTGTAGTGGAAAACCAAGGCTTAAACCACAGTTTTAAATTGACTTGTAAAGTAATAAGCCAACATCTCAGTGTTTGATGCAACTATTACTGCTCTGCTTTGCTTTGCTTTGCTAAGCATTTTTTTCCACATTAAAAACTGTTGGAGGAACATTTTTAATATGAACTTCCAAACTTTCCAGCTGTTCAGGAAGCATACGCTGGGTTGGTTTAAAATGATTTAGTCAAAACCTGAGTGAGGTAGAGTCAGTGGGAAGCTCTAAGAAGTGTATGTAATATGTTATGGGTGATGCTTATTCCAAAAAAGGCAATTACAAGATTTAAGCTTCTTTTGAATATATAACCTTGATTATAGTTTTACATTGTGTTTCTATACACTTTTTTCCTTTATAGAAAGCTTTTACAAATACGGATTAACAGAAGAGTCCACAGAGTCTGTGGAAGCATTGACTATGGTAAAATGCTATGCATTTAATTGTGCTCATTGGATTTCAGTTAATCTTGAGCCTATGGTTTGAAGAGAACCTGTAGTTCACCTTCTCTTCTTTCTTAATCCTGCAGCTCACCCACCGTGGTACCATTTCCTTTAAGTGTGGAAGCTTTTCTGTAAACACGTGAGATATTTTGGGAATTCTGCAAACCTTCCTCCATTAGAAATTTTGATCTTACAGATTACATGTGCCCTCCTTGCCAGTTTAAGCAGAACCCCCATCAATGTTTAGTTCCCCCCCCCCTTAAATTAGTCAATGGGGAGGCATGAATGGGTGGAGCTTCATAGTGAGTATGATGCATGCAGTAGCATAGCTGCAGGGCAGTTTCTAGTTAACAAAAGCACATACATTATCTCTTTGTATGGCGCTATGTACTGAAGGGGGCATTATGTTACTGTCTTTTTCCCTTTGTTGCTGGTTAATGTAGACCAAAGGAGTTGATGCTCATCTCTCCAATCCCTAGAGTAGAGGCACACCTTCATCCATATGCTAGTGTGCAGCTCTGATAGAGTAGTTTTTAACGAAGTAAAATGGCTACTATGCTTTGTTTACATCTGTCTTTTGTGTCTTTTCCTTCCTTCCTACCTTCCTTCCTTCCTTCCTTCCTTCCCTCCCTCCCTCCCTCCCTCCCTCCCTCCCTGAATGCTGTTAGGGATGTTATTGGAAGAAGCACAGGTTGAAATTACATTGGTTTCAGCTTTAACATTTTCTCACAGCCCAGTGTTATCTGCGAAAACTACTCATCACAGTGATGAGGATCCTAAATTAATTGGCACCAAAGTATTATTAGCAAGTGATCAGATGTTTGCCCTCTGCATCTGCTTAATATTTTGCACTATAAACCAAAAGATCTAGTTGCCATGATAGGGCTTGGTCGGCCAGGCACATTAATATTTTTCCTTGTGTAAGATAACACTGAGAAAGGTTACCTTTATAGTAGAAAAGAAATTCCTTGTAGCAGATTTCTTCCAATTCAGAACTCCCCAGGGAACTACAATTCCCATCAGCCCTAGCTAAGATGACCAGGCTAAGAGAAGCCTTCATGTAATTGAATGTAAATCTTCCATAAGGTCTCATAAGGTCTGTATTCATTTCCGATGTAGGTAGACTTCAGTATAATATAATTAATGCAGATTTGTTTCTTGTGAAGAACTTACAGAAAGCTACTGTATTTAATTTCTTGGTACTAGCAAAGATACCTGGTTATGGTTATTCCACTGAAGGAATCTGTCAAAATACGGTAGATAAAGGGTGATTTTTCATTTATTTCCTCCCTGCCTATCTGCAGTCCTAACATTGCAAAGCTGTAAGACCCCAAAAATCAGTCTGGACAGGGAGCAAATAGTCACTCTGCTCACGCATCTTTCACTCTCATAGAAGGTCAGTCATTAGGAACTATATGGGTATCATCCTGTGTATGATAAATGATAAAGTTAGAGAATTGTTAGATAATAATGTTTATTATCTCTATTGATTGACAGGTATTTGGAGCTAGCAAGAGCACTTAAGACTTTAACAACGTTCTATTGATTTCATATCTGGTATTTTGAAGTGCTTTCAGAAGGATTCTTAGCTGTTTATGTTAACTATTGACAGATGAATATTGAAGGTTATTGGAAGCTCAAAGTAATCCATTTGAAGGTTATTGGAAGCTCAAAGTAATCCATTTCTGTATAAGTTAAGAAAGTTAACTGCTATTGTTAAAACATGCCCATGGAGGAAAAAATCAAAGATAGTATTGCATTATTCTCCAATTCTCAACTTTTACTGTGATTACATTATTCATATAGCAAGGCTTTGTGGCTATATAGCAAAAAGCTGAAAATTTGTTTTTAGCCAAGCAAAGATTGTGAGCAACACATTGGAAATAAAGATAGCTTTGTGAAGGGAACTTATGCCAAAGCAGAATTACAAACTTGGCTTTGTATGTTCAACTTTCAAACAAAAATAGGTCAAGTCACTTCAGTCCCATTCACGCTAAAGAATTTAAGGGTGGAGTCCTCCAAAGGACTAATTTACGAGTCCTACATGCTGATTTGTAAATCACTTTTAGCAAACAATTTCAATTTTAACTGAGTTGAATATCAGGTTGACTTATTTTTGTGAGTGACTTTTCTTTGAATGTTTATCTTTGAAATATTTAAATGCTGCAGCATTTTTTTTTATATTCTGTAGTTATTGGCAGGGCACAGTTTCATATTCATAATAGTATGATAAGTATTATATGTTTTATCTCAAACGCATACTTGACTTTCATTAGCTGCATAGTGTATAATCTTAACAGTAATTTTCTAAAGAGGATTATAGTATTACTTTTATGTAGTCAGCAGTAGTATTGTTCCTCTGAAAAACACAGGATATGAAGAGAAGCACAAAGGATTCTCTCCGTCAGAGAAAAATGGATTTTGTTCTAGCTTAATCCCCAAGAAACCAGTTTGACATGGGCAGTGTCTGTGATTGCAAGGAACTGCTGAAAGAACAAAAGCATTACTATTCAGATGAGTGGCATCTGGATGATTTAATAGACATGCTTCCTTCCTCTTGCATTGGGGTAGTATTTTTGTAAGATACTGAGGACCCTATAGGTCAGGGGTCGGCAACTTTGGCTCTTTTATGACTCGTGGACTTCAACTCCCAGAATTCCTGAGCCAGCCATGCTAAGGGGAAAGGGCAAGATTTCCAAGCTGAGCCATGCTGGCTAGGAATTCTGGGAATTGAAGTCCACAAGTCATGAGGGAGCCATAGTTCCCCCATGCTGGCTCAGGAATTCTGGGAGTTGAAGTCCACGAGTCATAAAAGAGCCAAGGTTGCCTACCCCTGCTATAGGTAGTCCTCAATTTAAAACCATTCATTTAATGACTGAAGTTAAAATGGCCCTGAAAAAAGTGGCTTCTATCCAGTTTTCACACAACACATAACTGTTGCAGCATCCCCCTGGTCACGTGATCAAAATTCAGACCATTGGCAATTGGCACCTATTTACAATTTGTTGCAATGTCCCAGATCATGGGATCACCTTTTGTAACCTTCTGAAAAGCAAAATCAATGGGTAAACCAGATTTTAACAGCTTTGTTGCTAACGTAACAGCTGCAGTGATTCACTTAACAACTCTGGCAAAAAAGGTCATAAAATATGTCAGAACTCATGTAACAGTTGTCTTGCTGAGCAACACAAATTTTGGACTCAATTGTGGTCATACGTCAAGGACTCTTTGTGTTTGCATACAATTTCTCCCCCCCCCCTTGCCATCCATGGGCGCAAGGGGATAGTCTTAAAGCTCAAATAAATAAATAAATAAATAAACCCAAGCCAACTTTCCGCTGGATGCAGAGTTAGTCCTGGGTTAGCAAAAAGGCAGAATTTGCTGTCCTCTGACTAGGCAGCCTTCCACTTGGGGGGGAGTTGTCTTGAAGAAAGCTTTTGGGACTACATGCAATATAAGATGCTTTCGTATTTGCTTTTAGCATTTTTCACTGCAATTTCCTTGGGTGCTGGTTGGACGTTGCATAGAAATAATTGTGCAAGTTGGACTCCCAGCAGCTTGTCTGAAACCAGTCGAACATTTATTTGGAAGGTTATTAATTTTTTTTAGGTGATTTGTCAAACAAAAAGTAAGGGGACAATTGCACGAGGGAACTTTTTCGAAGATTTTGTCTGCCTGAGCAATCCCCCCCCCCTTTCTAACAGTGTTCTATTTCTTAAGTTCATTTGATGATGTACCAGCAGAGTCTCTCTCCCCCCCCCCATAAAAATGCACCAAGTGATAATCAGTTATTTCTTTATGTTGGCAAACGGGGGCTGTTGCTGTGGGTGTCTGCAGAATAACTCTCAACATACAAGGGTTATTTTGTGAGAGTTACCTCATCAGAACTGTTGCATCCCACGACAAAACTTTTGAATGTATGCTAGACACTGCATTTGTTGCTAGTTTTTCTAATTGTACTTTAGTTCCTAGGATCCCCTGAAAATTTGTTTGTAATAGTTTGGGGACCATTTAGAAAATAATAATAGTATTATTTACTACTTATAGTAGTATGGCAAGTAACGGGGGAAGATTGAGCTGACGAGTTCCCTGACTGCCATAGCACTTGTCCGGTAAGGTTGGCCATAGCTGCATCTCATAAACTTCAACAGAGCACAGCTAGAAAACTTCCTGGCTTTGGAGAAAGAGTCATCTACAACTGTTCTTAGGCTGCTGTTTTTCATTGAAAGGAATACATTGCAGGTAGTCCTCGGCTTACAACCAGTCACTTAGCAGTGGTCAAAATTACAACGGATCTCCCTGGGGATACTTACAATCTGGATTTGAAGTTCAGGTCGTTCCCCCCTGCATCACATGACCACGACTGCATTTTGGGTGCTTGGCAGATGGGCCAATTTTACGTCTATTTACAGCATCTCTGCCACATCACTGCATTTTACAAAACCGGCATTTCCAGCTTATGGCAAAACCAGCCTATAGCAAACCAGTGGTTTGCTCAATGATTGTGGCTTAAAAACAATGGCAGCCATTTAACTGCAGCAGCTGCAGTCACAAAAAAAGCTCCTAAAAATTGGGTCGGTCATGTGGGTAACCCGATTTATAACCACCATGTGTTATGACTTTGACAGGCAGTCACCATTATGGCTGACACTTGAGGACTACCTGTGCAGCATGTATTTTGAATGGGATACAGCTTTTCCAAAGGGGGCCGATAAAACAGTGGTCCCCAACCTTTGTGACTTGGCAACCCATCTGGGGGGAAGAGGGGAACTGAGCTGCGTGAGTGGTAGGGTGGCTTGCTTGACTTGCACAAGCAGTGGGCCAGCGCGCAGGACCACGAGTGCCCACCAGAGTTCCGCTCGTGCAAGTTGAGTTGCGCATGTGCACACCAGCCCGCCACTCATGCGGCCCAATTCCAAGTAGGTCATGGTCCTTTAGTGGGCTGCGGCCAGGACGTTGGGGACTCCTGCGATAAAGTAAGTTCTGATTCCAGTTGCTTCATTTTTTTTAACAGGATTGTGAAACCAGATTTTTAAGTGTACTTTCCTTTTAGAATGAAAAACTCTGTACATAAAAACCCCCAGATCCTTTAGTATCTTCTTTGCAAATAAGCTGATAAGAGTTAACTGCACAAAAATGCAAACATATAATAGAAGGTAGTAAGACCTCAGTTTAATGAACTGTGCCTATTACAGGTAGTCCGCAGACTTACAACATTTCATTTAGTGACTGTTCAAAGTTACAACAGCACCATTGAAAAAAGTGACTTATGACCGTTTTTCACATTTACAAACCGCTGAAGGATCCCCATGGTGATGTGATCAAATTCAGATACTTGGCAGCTGATTCATATTCACGATGACTGCAGTTTCCCGGGGTCATGTGATCACCTTTTGTGTCAATGGGGAATCCGGGTTTAGTAACAACCTTGTTACTAACTTAACTGCAGTGATTCACTTAACAATTGTGGCAAGAAAGGTCATAAAATGGGGCAAAACTCACTTAACAAAAGTCTTGCTTAACAACACAAATTTTAGGCTCATTTGTGGTTGTTAAGTCAAGGACTACCTATATTTGGGGTATCCATTCAGCATCTTGCCTGCTACATATGAAGTCCATTAAACAGAAACTTGACTGTGTGTTCTTCCTAGAGTATTTGTATGATAGTTTTCTTTTTGTAAAATTTTGCAGCATTTCGCAGTATCTTATTCTAAAATAATTCTAAGTATTTTTGTTTTTCTTACTGAATGTGTTGCTATTCTGTGGCAGTCATGACAAGCTTGATAATGGCTGCAATCATGGAAAAAAAACTAGATAAAGAATAGGAGAAGGCACTTTCTTGTTACGACCATGGAGGGTATATCAAGTAAAATGATACATGGCTAATTACTTGCAATAATGACAAGCCTTAAAAAGGTTTCTTGTAAGACAGTGTTCCTCAGTCTTGTCAACTTGAAGATGTGTGGACCTCAACTCCCAGAATTCTGCAGCCAGCATGCTGTGCGGGGAATTTTGGGAATTGAAATCCAAACATCTTCAAGTTGCCAGCATTGAAAAACGTAGATGTAAGAGTTCCACAAATTGTCCCCTACCTTTTAATACAATCTACTTCTGTGGTTTCAGCTAGTGATTTAAGACATAACTATTTCAGAAATGATAGCAAAAGCACTTAATTTGAGGTGGCAGAGAGGAGCATGTGAACTTCTTCTCATCCTTTGCAAGCAATGATTCATTATATCCTTATTTCGTTATCGAGGTCTAAGCTATTTTCCAGCTTAATAAAAGACTCAAGTGAACCTTTTAACTGGGCATCAGTATCTGGAATCTGGATGGTTAAACAAAGAAAAAAAAATCAGCTATTATTTATATTAAGAGACATTTGATCTACATAACATTTGATATATTTCATGCTTTTAGAGTATCTTTGTAATATAATTTTTTCACAAGGGTTCATTTGATAAATATTTAAACCACTTTGAAGGTTGTCAAGTTTATGAAGTTTAAGAACTGTGTCCTGCAAAAGGGGACAAGTTTAACTGACCTGTAATCTTAAATGTTTTTAAAAGTTTATTGATTCTGATTTTGTAAAATTAGTATTTTATATTCCCTTTTCTCTATTCATAAAACAAGAATATAGGGACCAGCAAAATGGACAAAGTTAACAGTTTGTTGCAACAAAAGGTATTATATTCCCCCTTGTAATGCATTGGTTTTTGAAAAGCTATTTAAGTATGTCATATTTGACTTTATTTGCTTCCAAGTTATTCTTGCCAATATGTTCTTACTATCTTTTTTGTTTGTTTGGGGGGGGTCACTCTTCCCTCTTCAGTACTATGTTTTTACCTGAAAGGAAGATTTGCCTGAAAACAAAGTAGGTAATGTATATCAATTTCAGCCTTGGCAATTTCACATGAAACCAATTCAGGATATTTCCTTCCTCCAAATCTGTGAGTTTGACCATTTGTACATGTGTGTCCATATATGTATGTATGGTAGTCAGAAGTCATACTCCAACAAAAGACAGAAAAATAAACTCATATTGATTTAATAGCGGTAGATTAAGATTAAAATTCTGTGAAAGTACATTTATAAATTCAATTGAGCCCCAATCAAAATAAACCAATTATTTTCACATATCCATGCAAGTACACAGAGAGCAAGACACAGACAGTTTTCCTTCTTTCCAAAAGAAACAGCAGAAAGAGCAATATATGAGCTTTGGAAAGGGGCACGGGCAGGGGGATTTTCAGAATGAAGAAAGCAACATTGCTGCCAACCTGATCATTTATTGTTGTGAGCACAACATGCAATGCTGCAACCCTTTTGTCATTCCAGGAAAAGCAGTAAGGTCCTGTGATGCCACTGAGGCAGTAAATGGGGCGAAGCTATATATCCAGGAGTGGGGTGAGGGGAGCCAGGGATGAAACATGCATGATCTCATCACTCAAATGCTGCAACTTTAACATACTTGCATCAGATATCAGGACACAACTATATAACGACCACTTTCAGTGGTGACCCCAGTTTGCTACAAAGGCTATTGGGTGAGCAAAAAGGAGAGCTACGCTGAGAATTATAGGAAGAGAAAAGCGGGAACCATGTTGGATGGATAGGAAGCAATATTATATCTGCCGAGGGTGGAAAAGTCCAATTAAATTCAACCTGGCAAGCAATAAGCAATGTGCAAGTTGATTAGCGTAGCTGATTTTAATTTCAAAGCAGCCCTGCAG